GTTTTCTACTTTGTGATGTCTACCATCCGACTCTTGTTCTTAGTGTTGCAGCTGTGATTCTATCCAAGGCGTCTCCGGTCAGAGGGCTCCCTCACCTTGGACGGGCCATGACCATGGTGCAGGAACTCAAGCAAGCACCTGGGACTGGACTATCTTGGATTCTGCCCAAACATACCCCCAAAGAAAGTCCCATGCACAAGACTTTTGAAAAACAACTTAGGGTGGCTCGAAAAAATGACCTTGTACTCTCACATGCCATCTCAACAACGGAAGAAAAACACACCGTTTAAATGCATTTGCTTTCGTTTGCCAACGTGGCATGTGTTCTCAGAAAGCTGATTATCCCCCACATGCACAGGCTGTCATGCCCCAGTCCAAAAAAGAACTAAAGAATTTCTATTTGGCTATGGCCCAACACGAACTGCTGCCTAGGTGTGTGGCGGGACGGATTTCATTAGAACAACCCTGGCCAGCTTCAAGGTGGCAACATCAAAGAGTACATTGCTGGTTGATGCGGCAGGGTACGACGCGTGGCCAGCCCTGGCTGGCTTGCAGGACGCTGAATCAGTGTGTGGGGTTTGCTGATTAATTGTTGTTTGCTTTCGGTAAAAAATCAGCAATTTTTTTGTCTTGAGCCTGGGCCTTGTTATGCCTTGCTGATGTTTGGCCAGGATGTTTGCGATTCCAAACCGTGTCTTTCCGCGACGATTTGCTTCGGTCACAGCGGACAAGAGCTGTTGAACCGCATCGGCAATGAGGTGTACTCGGCTGCCAGAGACAAACATCTGCAAATCCCCAACTTTCCAGACTTTGCACCTGTGATTGCTGCGCTCAAGCGTGGGCCGCCGCAAGAAACTTCCAAGAGCTACCGCGTGTCTTGCCAACAAGGCTCAAACCTTTTGGTGCTTGAAAGCTATGCAAAGAAGTGGCTCAACTACGAGCACACAGCTGATCGCGCAAAAATGCTGATTGACGAGCACAACAAGGAGTTCAATTCCACGGAGTCCTTCTTGCTTGCAGAGAGGACTTCTTTTTCGATGCAGTTCGGTTGGGCCAAGCTTATATTCATTAGTCAGTAATTATTATTATTATTGTATAGGGCCCCCAGGGGTTGCGAGATAAATTTCATATGGTATCCAGTATCCATTATATTTCAATTTAAAGTCTACTAGCGACAAGTGTCTCCATGCTGTACTTCTAGATGGTTTTGGGGTCTGTAGGTGGTCAAAAAAATCAATGCAAATCAAGGATGCCATCCCAAGAGTTAATACTTCGACCACACCCTTTGTTTTCGCCAAGATTCACATGCTTGCCCACCAAGAATCCATGTCTTCCCATCTGCAGGACAGAGCAGCCCAATGAGGCTGCCGACAGTGAAGAGCGGCCTGCCAAACGGATCAAAGTCGAGCACTGCAGTTCAGAAGAAGTGTCAAAGGTTGCCAATCCGTTCCTCATCTGAAAAAAGTACAAATAGCAGAAAAAATTGATTCACCCGTGGAAGCCTGGTGGTTGATGGATATCCGCATTTTCTTGGAATATATTTTATATACGACAATACATAATAATTATATTTTATAATATTGTATTATACTAAGTATAGACTATTATTATACTGAATCGTATTCACTCTTTTACCCAAAAAAACATTGCTGCCATGGCCTCTGCGAGGAAAACGCTTCAAATCAACAATTTGTGCGAGCTGATTCTTGGAGGCGAATCTGGTGATTACCTCTATTTGCAATCCCGTGGGCGTTCCCAATTTCTAGACAAGCGAGAGATGCCACTTGTCAAACTTTATAAAGCCTCGCAGTAGATACAAAAATTCTTGTAAAATTGGATTCAAAAAGTTTCTGCCCTGTGATCTGCCCTAAGGTTCAGCTATGGGAGTGGTGAGTGGAGGGACGGGCAAGCATCTCGCCCAAAAACCAGCCATGAAATTGACAACTACTTGATGATTTGATTTTACACATTCTGTTTTGGGGGCAGCTCTGCAACATACCCAGGAAGCTAGTGAAGTGCTATCTGACCCAACTGGTCGCTGGTGGAGCTTCAACATTGACGGGGGCCACTACTTGATCCTCGAAAAGAAGGGCCTTCCAGAACACTTGAAATCAATTGAGAACCTCGACCGGGCGGTTACATTGGCAAGCTTACTTACAGACCTGGAGGACTTAGGTGAAGCATCTTGGTGTTCAATTCATGTAATCAAATTGTCCAGTGCATGGTAAAATTGTATCAAGCTGGTATGATTTTCACAAAATGACAGAATCTCGATGATCAGCTGTGCAATGCAACAATGTGTCAATTCAAATGACTTGCACGGTATTCATGTTAGTTTAAGCAAATGGTAGGCTGGTAGGGGTTGTATTGCTATGATTTCTGAACCCCACTTTGGGAATACCTGGAAGTCCCAGGTGAAAGTGGAAGTAAGCCACCATGCTTTCAGTGACGGGCAGTGGTCTTGTACAAAACCATTGGTGTTCGTCATGGATGACCCTCCCAATGGTGAAGTGAAAAAGGAAAAGAAGAAGAAAAAGACCGTGCCCATCACCCAAAAATATTTCGGAAGCTACCTCGACATCGAGAAGATCAAGTCCTCGCAGGTGATGGTCCTTGCGTGGCGCTGCAGGCTTCTTGCGTTGCATTGTGCTGTGCATTTTTTTTTGGGCGGGTGGTTTCTGGTTAATTTCTTCCAACCATTATTTTTTAGGCCCAGATCAAATTCCATTGCCTAGGCTGGACTGTTCGGCCGCCCAGGGTGCAAAAGTGATCACTCCGATTAGGCCTGTCATGTGCCTGAACCAAAATTTGGATTTGTCAGATACCGCAATTCGTCTGATGTAGACAGATCTGTTTGCTGGAAAGCCAACCGCTGATTCTCATTCGACTGCAACAAGAAGCGGGCTTGTTGATTTTGAAGAATAGATTTTGTCAGCCCATATGTTGGCACAGGGTGCTGGCTGATGTGCAGCGCAAAGGGAGCATTTGGGTTGCGGCTTGAATCTGACCGCCGGAAAAACTTGACCCAAGCTAGATTTTCTGTCTTCTACTACTTGGTGGTTCAACCTTTAGTGCTTCTGCTGCGTCACCTAGCTGGGAACCATTTCCCAAAGCTTTGAGCTGAGATGGAATGTTGGTTGGGTCGACAGTATGGCTTGAAGATTGATCTAACACTAATTGAATCATAAATACACTTTTGATCAAAGATACATGACACAATTTTTGGTGTTTCAAAAGCCGGGCACATATACCCAACCAATTCCGTGAAAACGGAGTGATCTACCCTTTCTGTGAAAACGGGGTGATCTACCCATGTGGACGCGGAACCAAAAATTTTACAGTTATGCCGGCTGGATCCCATGACACAGGTCAGATTGAAATCAGATTCCATACATTGCTATTGAACTTAATCCCACATCATTACCGGCATTTCAGTTTGATTTTGGATCAATTGTTTTTCATGGTGTAGCTTGAGGGCAATGGCCTCCGATGATGAAAGTAGTATCGAGGAGGTGCCACTCACACAATCCGTGAGACCGCCTGTATCTTGGATTCAAACTAGCTGCCCTGATTGGCAAAAAAAGTTTGACCAGAATTTCATGAATTACTGTTGAATGAAAGATGTCCTTGTTCCATCTTGTTCCGATCTAAGGCATTCGACTTGCAGGCCATGCTACGTGGTTCTAATCCTTCTGCTACCCCTGCCCGCCGAACAACCAGTAGTGTTCCTCCGTCTGCCGTCCGAGCATCTTCGGTGGCTTCGCCAGCAGCAAGTTCGCTGACTTCGCCACGACCTGCTCCTTTGCCAGCTGTGACAGGCTGGGCTTGCTTGAGAACTGTTTGAAAAGAAACGAGATTTTGCAAAGAATTTTCACTAGTCACAAGTCCAAAGATGCACAGTTACTTGCAAACCAAACAATGGAGGTTCTCATGCGTTACCTGGACGTGTCAGCAATTCAGATGATTCCTCTGGTGACAAGAATGACAAGAATGACAAGATTGACAAGAAGGCCGTGCCCACTGCCAAATCGAAGTCCAACCCGAAAAGAAAAGCCAAGGCAAAAGCCAAACCACATGATGAACCAGATGCAGATCATGATCCTATAGATGATCAAGACAATGACGACCCAGACTCTGATGACTGCAATGATGGGATCCCTGACGACTTAAGGCCAGGAGGTAAGGCAGCCAAGCGGCCAGCTTCAGCAAAACTGGGCCCGCGAAAAAAGCCAGCAGCTGCCAGTACCAGAAGTCGCAGGAACAGTGACCTGGTGAATGGAGATGACGAGGACCGTACGTTGCAAGCAATGGCAATGAAAACACAAAAAACTTAGCACTGCAATTTGATTGTCAACAAGTTTTGGTCAATTTGCCATTGTATGTTGAATTATGATGAATATTTTTGAACCATTTTCCAGGATCGAGCCCAAGAGAACGAACCGTTTGCCTTTGAACTTCATGGCATCCATGTCAAAGAAGAGGAGCTGCTTGACAACAACTTACATACATGTGTTTTGTTTACATCATGTGAGAATAAGAATGAAACACAATTTCAACCAGAAGACATATACCAAGGCGAACCGAGTTGTGGGAATACCCTGACAACCAAGAGGGCCTCATGATGTCTTGCCGATCAGTTCCTGCCCCTTGGTGTGATTTACTCATGTGCCAACAGTTGTCCCTTGGGCGCCCGGAATGTCCTGCCTCCTGCCAGGACAGCTTGGACAAGTCCAATGCGATGAAGGACCCTCCTCAGACTGAGCTGGAGCCCACGGATCTTGGATTTCAAGCTGCTCAGCTTAAACATAAAAAACTAACAACATCTAACAACTTGATTGCCTTTTGCCATACCAAACCGAAAACTATTCAACACACAGTTTATTTTGTTGATGCGGTTAGCCCCACTAATTATGAACCGTCCATTTTGAATGCCATTTTCCATACCCTACGATTTGTTTGGAAAGTGATGGGCCAACTGAAAATCCTATGAACCTGAGGACATGCGTGATCCTTCTGATGTTGACGCTACCTTGCAGGAAGCTGACAAGAAATATGCCGACGATGTTGCCTCCACTCTTCCGGATTGCGAAAGTTTGGAAATGATTCCGGGTTACGACAGTTTGGAAAAGGAGGTGCCACTCCTAGTGCATTGCCAGCATCCACATGTGATGTATTTTTTTTGACTGGCCTGCCACAAGTTGATCGTTTTATGTTTCTTTTTGGTTGCTTGAGCCAAACCGATCTTAGGCCGCCAGTGTGGGGGCAAAAGATATGAAGCTTATCTTGGATGAGCTGGCGCCCTTAGCAGGTGAGGAGACGCAGTATATGATGAGAGCAGAAGCGCTTCTTTCTGTGCCCCATGCTCCGGACGGCGCCGCTTTGGTTCCGAGAGCTGTGGTACAGAGCACCCTTTCAGCCATCAACATTGCCCTTGAGAAGGTTCAGGGCGTGATTGACCGGACCACCCCTTCTGCCCAGCAAGAGTTGGAAGAAACAGAGGCCTTGAACGCAGCCAGAAAAGCAGAGTTAGGTGTGCCTATTGAACCACGTCACCCGGATGAGGACAACCAGGAACCCTCTGAAGATCAGGAAATGGAGATGCTGGCAGAGCTGGAAGATCAGGAGATGCAGATGGATGATGGGACAGAAGGCCAAAAGAATGAAAGCACGAATGAAAGCCAAGAAGCACAGGATGATGAGGAGAACATCACGCCCTGCAGCAAAACCACGCCAAAGGCAAAGTCAGGAGCCAGCAAAGCTTCGGCGAAGAAGCGCCCACGTGCCAAGCCAACCGCAAAGGCCAAAAGCAAGAGTTGCAAAAAACCAGCCAAGAATGCGAAGAAGGCGTCCAGTGCCAAGAAAGGCAAGCCAAAGAAGACCGATGACCCAGACGTTGCCCTGAAGAAGAAGCTTCATTCCGCTGCTCAACTGCGCATAGGCAAACCTAGTAAATGTCCAATGTGCCAAGTTTGCAATAACAGCTGCGTGCGATCAATTTACAGTCACTCTTCCACTCTTTCTTCTTGCAGCCCATTCAACAGATCAGTCATTTCATGTGTATCATGTCCCAGGTATATTCTTCAACTTGGTCAACTTGTGCAGCTCGCGGTGAGAGTGGAGAAGCGTGTCGCAGGAAAGCATTGGATGCCAGAGTGAAGCAACTCAGCCAGAATACTGCCATCATCTTTTGCAGTCTTCAGTCAAAGTTTAGAATCGCAGAGTGCAGCTGGTGTAGTTTTAGCCCAAGTATACCATCCATCTACCCTTTACCCGACCACAGCATTCCACAGCTCGCCAAGGTGGATTACAGAAAATGGCCACTCCGAAAACCCGGTGGCCGCAAAGTTTCTTTAGGGGTTCAGCCAAGCATCAAATGAATGTGTTGCTTTGACACATGCACATGGCTGCATCGATGGGGTAAAAGAAAGTGCTGCGTGTGATGGTGGCGTTTCTGTGACTTACATGAATCAAGTGAGTTAGACAAATTGAATGCCATTCAATGGCTGCCAAAATGATTTCTGATGTTTGTTGCAGCTTGTTTGATTGCACATGGTTGCGACTATTTTCCACCTCTGATATCTTTACTTGATTATCTTTGAGCCCTGACATGGCAAAGACCCACTTTCACTTTGGAAAGGACCTGCTTCACCCTGAACTGTCATATGTATATATATAATTATATATATATGTAAATATGCATATTATATTATACTTTCAACATTCTTTCAACATCTTTCAGCTTGATAAGTTCCATTTTGACCTTCGTCACTTTTGTGTAAATATGCAGAGCATGGGTCTGGGCAAAGACTGGGTCAGCAACAAGGGTATGGTTATATAATAGAAATGACCCCAAACTTGCTTCCCCCCATCTGATTTTTTGACGAATCTTTGCCCAAACAGCCGGCATTACATAGCTGTATACCTGGTGGGTGATGATTGCTTTAGTATGCTTTAATGGAAATTTACAGGTTGAAACGAAAATACGGTACCCGATTCCGTCCCATGGTTTATCATCGTCCCTATTACAATGGCCATGTACCCCATTCTCAGACACACCCGCGTTTTTGATGGTAAATCCCCAACCCACGTACCCACACATACATGCACATCATGGTCACATCTGATGTATGGTTGATGATTTATATCTGCCATTATCTCCACATTATAGCCCCATTATGGCTGATTATATAATTAAATATAATTAAATATGTATGTATCTAGGTGCTATAATATATACTGTATACACATATATATATATATATACATTTATTTATTTAGTATAGAGTCATCCTGAAGTCCTGGCGAAGATAGAATATGGGACTTGCAAAAGAATTCTCATTGTTTTTTGACTATTTTTGACAATGCCATATCCCGTTTACTTCAGGATGATAATATGTATATATATATATATACATATATATACACGGTATGCTATATGCGCAGCCTGTAGAAAATCGTATCCATTGTGGTCGATTCATCGTATCCCATCATCTTCCCATTTGTGAAACAAAACTATCTCCCAGATTTTCATCTCCCAACTATCTCTTCATTATATCCCTATGTATTGGTAGTCAGATCAACTCTCTCTCTCTCTCTCTATATATATATATGTATATAGATGCTGGCGGGACCACAGGTCGCCTGGCTGTTTGCTTGTGTGGGGGGGGGGTTGGGGGGGGTGGGGGGGGGGGCGTAATTACGTTCCTTTTTCTGCGTTCGCCTGGACTTTTTCTTTTTGTAGCTATATTTATGTTACGCTTGCACGCTGCCTCATCATCTTGCACACAACACGTCACGCTACGCTTGCACGCTGCCTCATCATCTTGCACGCAACACGTCATGCTACGCTTGCACGCTGCCTCATCATCTTGCCGCTCTCTCTCCGAAGTTGACCCCAAGCTTTCCAAGAAAGCTGGAACACAAGTCATTGACAGAAAGTGGAAGGCATTGAAAGACTTTTTGCCAAGCAACTACCACCGAAAGATCAATGGCCCACATGGCAGCCAGGTCAACCCTCTGATGAGAAAGCGTGTCTTTCAGTTTTGCTGGCGCAATTCGCTGCAATCGCCCAGCCCAGCACAGTTCTTAAAACACCTGGCAAAGTTGCAATGCAAAAAAAAATGTAGCGGCGTTAGTTTTCAGGATGATGAAAAATTGTCACCTTTGCTTGACGTCTGATTTCCAATGGGCAGAATACCTGGATAATGGTTTCGTAACCAGGCGACTCATGGTCCCCGTGACCATATAGATATATTATATATGTAATACATATATAGATATATTTTATATGTAATACATAAATAAGTATATATATATACATATGTATATATATATATATATTATATGTATATTGATCTGGATTATAAGGACCTCCCAGTTCTCCCTGAAATCCGGGGAAGCAGGCGGAGCTTGGAGGTGACCAAGGCCAACGACAGCCGAAGCATCACCGAGGCATCGGTGCATGTTCCAGTCTGTGGCTATTTTGAAGTGGAAAAATATATGGAAAAAACGAAGCTACAAGTTATGGGGATTTATGGGGAATGACAAATATGGAAAATATGGAAAAATATGGAACATATTGCTCGACATGGCGATCTGTTCAGCAATTATGGGGAATGAAAATGGTGAAAATGGGGATAGCTGGAGAGATATGGCGATTTCGAAAAGCAAATGATGGAATATGAGGATCTGTTAGCAATAAAATTGTCAACAAACAGATTGCACATGGCTATAAATAGGGATTAACCGACAAAGTCATGGGGGTACAAGACTAAACAATATATCGGATATCCTGGGGTATAGATGTGTATCACCAACAACATTATATTGATGTGTCGAAAAATGGTGGATCTACAAAAAAAATGTGGCAACTGTCATGGCTAAACATTGATGATAACCAGTTTTTTTTGGATGATGGGTGTAGCTATGTTCAAAGACACATCAAAGTTGGCAGGATTCACTTGAGAAATCTGGCCATGAGTTGGAACAAACTGCAGTTTTTGCCTACAGTGATCCATCCGGTATGGGCAAGTGAAGATCTATCGTTTCCATTTCTAGATGACTTAGCTCTGAAAGTCAGGGCTGCATAGCCGGGCAGTAGACTACCAGAGGCTTTTGCATTGCGTTGCCAGCATCAATCGGATTTACATCCTGTTACATCAAAGCTATGCGATGACACACTCATCAAATCTCAGACTTCTAAATAAAACAGAACAACACTTAGATATTTCTGACGAAAGTCCAACACAAGGACGACACCTTTAATGTTCTTTAAAATGACAGTATAGCTTCAGCACCTGTGTAACTCCATTTTCCTCGTGCGCTGGTTTTCATCGAGGATGAAAGATCTGATCTCCTCCACCGAGCCGTTGCGAGGTGCACTGAGCATAGCAAGTGACCGATTGGAGTTCGATGATTTTACCGAAACTATGGGTGATGTTCGAGGTTTGCGTTAGCTTACTGGAGGATATATATATAATATATATATATATATTGTAGATGTAATATGTATATCCTCTCGATATCATGTGAGTAGTCCTGTCAACGAAAAACATGTTTTTGCAGGATCGAATATCAGCCTGTGATTTCTGCTCTTCAAATGGGGGCTCTGAACAAAAATGTGGGGTTGGACTTGGATGATTTTCTTGCTTGGTTTGGATGACATACTGATCATACTGCGCATCCCCAAATGCACCAATAAAATATAGAACAGAGTGGTGGTAACCTACCAAAAGAAACTTCCGGGACATGGATTGTTTGTTCAGTCAAGGTTGACATGACCAACTCTGTGATTCCCAAACGGCTCATCCCTAAATTCCCATTTTTCATGGAAAACATTCCATGTTTAATCGTTGAATCCACAGTTTTGCATGGTTCAATCTCCATTAACATGGTAAATCGCCAAACTGAGCGCCCAGCTTCCAAGCCAGGCATTTCCACAAGAAGGGGATACAACACACCACAGGCTTCTATCCTGGCAAGGAGGCCTAGACCATGACGTACCAGTAACGTGATGGAAAACCCATCAGTTCGATGATTGTCCCAGCTACAAACCTCGACTTACTGGGGATTTAAACAAATGCCATGTTTGATGACACCAAATTGTCCCCACATTACTTCGGTGATGCCTTGCTGTGTATACGATTTTTGCAAACATACACAGCCTTGCAGGCACATCACAACATGCATTCTTCGCTCCTCCAGAAATTCAAGTCACAATCAAATTCCAATCAGGTTTCCAAGCCCCAGCGGACGTACGATCACACAAGCTAGCTTGCATCAAGATAGTCCACAACGCAGTCTTGTAACCTGAATTCAGATGAATGCCAAAGGCCAAAAGCCGTTAAGCCAGCCAATCCGAACTGGCAACCTAGTTGGGAAGCAGACATATCAATACACACATTTGAAAAGCCGTGTTGACAAAATGGATCCAGTGACAACAGAAACGCCGTACAAGAGGTCCCATTACGAAAGCAACCACTATGTCAAACACAATACACAAACAACAAACTGGTAGCTGACACATGGGTCACTCCAGTGCAGCCATATTTCAAAGCTCTTCAGTCTCACACCGTCTTACCGGTTGATCCGCGTTTTTTTCCAGACTTTCCCTGGCTGCGTGGGGTTGGGGGCTCCCAGCATCCAACTCGAGGCTACTACCCGCCACCGGGATATCCTCCGGGCGGCTACCCTGGCTACCCTGCCTTCGGCTACGCGCGGCTTTGCGGCACTGGTCTGGTCTGATTGCTCCGAGGTTTAGATGATCATGGATGATCCCTGAGTTTAGATGGTAAATGGATTGATGTTTCGGGCTATGACCCGAAGATACCCTGAGATATCCGTAAATGTCCCAGTTCTTGTCCGATAGGAAGACCCTTTCATGAAGCAGGAACTTTGACCATCCCGGTAGCCATTTTGGAGTCTTTGGACATGCGATAGATAGCAGGGTCAAATTGGAGCTGTTACAGCTGTTCATGCCAGGGGTTTCTTGCACCAAACCTGGGGAAATGGTCGGTGTTGATGTTTCCTCATAGAACATGAATGGTGATGACCAATATTTTGCGATGTTTATCATGTTAAGCCATGTTTTTCACGATCAACATCGTGTTGGAAGTTTCAAAACCAATTCTCTTGTTTTTCCGCCGTTGTCGGTAGTTTGGTGGTTCAATAGCTCCTGCCTCAGGGCTGGCTACTACCCACCTCCAGCCTTTGGTGTCTCGGCATGGTCGGAACACGCAAGTGTGAAGGTGAATGGGTCAATCGCTCTTTTTTGGCAAGGTGTCAAAGGAGTAAGGTCTGCCATCCTAAGTTTTAGTGCAAATGTCTCGTGTTTCACAAGCCCGACACTACCCCCTGCACGAGATATACATAGATGCTTCACAGCCCTGAAAGTCAAATGATTGATTTGCCCACCATAGTAGTGATAATCCACTGGCATGGGGGAGCTATCGAGGTTACTATCCACCCAACGTGGGGAGCGGCTTCGATGGCAGCATGGGCTACGCGCAGGCACGCGGAAGTTTGGGACAGCTACGGTAGCAATGGACCCACTAATTTTCGGCGATTGAAATGATTCAAGATGATTTAAGACGTCTCTGGGTTTAAACATCCACAATGGGGATATACTAGAGATCTAATCGGGACATAAACATAATTAATTACACATACGGTTACCGTATATTAACCATTGGTGGCATATGAATAGCATCCATTCTCACGAATGAGAATTTTGGTGAGAATGGGATGGCAAGAATGACAGTGTCCCCGGCAGAAATGATGAGAAATGTAGCATAGAAAAATCATGAAAATTAGGGGAGTTAGCTATGCAGAGTACAGCCAAAAAGTCAAACAAATGGGTAGTTGAATTAACAACAGGAGACTCGTCCTAAGGGATAGAGACTGCAAAGAAAGAAAGAAAGAAAGAAAAGAAAAGAAAGAAAGAAAGAACGAAAGAAAAGAAAGAAAGACAGACAGACAGATAGATGGATAGATAGATAGATAGATAGATATGTACTTTTTGGATCTGAATGGTGTCAAGTCCAGCCAATCGTGGTTGAGTTTTCCTGCTTATTTGGTTGACCGACGGGCTGCACAACCAATATTAGCTGCGCCTCCAGGCTGCCACGGATGGTCGAACGGATGCCAGGCGCTGCCATCATCTCATCATCCCGGATTCTGCTATCTTCAATGACGTCTTTGTCTGAAAATCATGTGGGTAACACATGGTAACCCAATAATGTTTGTCACCCCATGTTTGATGGTTTATATATGTTTATATCACCCATGTTTGATGGTGTTTGGGGATGGTTTATGACATTGTTTTTTCAGCAAATGAAAGAAAAAACACATTAATGGAAAAAGACCTGAATCTAGTGGTTCATCATCATTTTCAATCGAATAAATAGCCATTTGCTTGGGGGCCCTACATCATTTTGAGACCTCTATTTAGTCCGTGGATGTTCCGTTGCGACCGTTTGATTGGCAGAGGGTAGTATGTTCTAATCCCTCATCAAACACTGCTAGGTGGTTTTCAAATGTTTTATTGTTTTTCAACCGTGCCTGAACATACTTGGCTGAGATGACTCATATTTTTTGGGATGGATTCATTAAAACCACCAACCAGCTATGAACGAAGATAAACAGCCGTTGAACCCAGCAGATGAGGATTGAACCATGCAAGAACTGGGATGTTTTTTTTGGGGTGGGATCCTCACCCCATTTCTAGTTGAAGATGAAACACATATTTGAAGCGACTAATCATTCTTACAGTACGCTTTGTTGGTTGAGATTAAACGTGTTAAGCCAAAGTTAACAGCAAGAAATGGAATGAGCAACAAATGACAACATTTTAAGTTGAGAACCCCTGATATTTTATGATTTTGATGTTCGAAATGGGCGCGCCTCAAACATTTACATGGCCGAAGACCTGGACCGCCAATGTTTGAGACTCCAGACATCTCGAAAAAATGACTGGGTGGGTAATATCCAGAGGAGGTATTTCCAATGAAATCTCCTGTATTGTCGACATATGAAATATACAGTTGCTTAGGCGTATCCCATATTGTACTTGGCAACTTTTGGGTGCAGTTCCAGCAAGTCGATATCTACCATCTATTTTTCATAGGTTTTCATAGGGGCCCCTAAGTTGAATGCCAACTTATGGAGGTTGAGGATGTTTGGAGATGTTTTTTTGGCTTCGAACGACCAGGTACCAACCCTACTGACCGTGGGTAGAGTCGGGCACTGATTTGGATGCGGAAGTGGGGTATACCCATCATGGTGATTTTTTGGAGGGAAAATGATGATAACCAGATCACCAATGGATCATCAATGGTACCCTATTTTCAGACACTAAGAATATGTTTTAACAGGTCTGGAACTGACAAAGGATATGAGCAACACCAAGAATGGATTCCAGCGACCGATTTCGACGGATGTTGTGACACAGCATCCTGAAGAGGAGTCCCGTCCCATAGAGCAAGTGGGTTGAAATGTGACCATGTCATGCCCCGGGCTTTGTATTTAAGTGTCAAATCTGGGTACCCTGAAATTTCCAATGGTTTCTCATCATGTTCATCCTTGAAATTGCCATTGAGATCCGTTGAGGGTAAACTGATCCCATTTCGAAACCCAAAATCATCCAAATGGAATCGAGAACAGCACAAGCGTTGACTTCTGCACTCTTTCATGACCGTGACAACCCGTGCGGTGCAGCAAAAAGTGCAGCGTCCTGGCTCGACGGATGTGACGAAAGATCCACAGTCCGTCAAGCCTGCCTTGCTTCGATGACACATGGAACATCATGGAAGCATGTTTTCTACACATCGTGTAGCCTCAAGTATTTATGAAGTTGATGAATCAAGAATAAACTGAATAAACATGAACAATCTAAATAGAGATGTTTTGCTCAGGGGATCTCAGGTTAGTGACTCGGCAAATCAGGATGCTGCTGTTTTCACACATTCGAGTCCAAGGAGCCCCCGAAAAAGCCCAAGGGTGCGCTGACTGAAACAGTCCAATTTCAACATATCCATTGATCCTCGAATATTGGACTGATTAGTAAATGCTGCTCCTACTGGGTTTTCTTCATCCCAGCTAGTTTCGATTGTGAAAAATTAGATGGATAGAATCGGACAGAGCCCAGTTGTTCATAGCTGGATAATGCTGGATATATGAAGATGTGTCATTTCTACATCAGAGAAGCCTATCTGCAGGCTTTCCAACCAGGCTGATCGATCCGTCACTGGAATGACCGTCCAAGTAGGAAACCTGCTGGAGCAGATGATATTCACTGATGTTCGTTTTATCTCCATTCACTCTTTGCCTCTTAGCTCAACTCGAACTCGAAGCCTGCGATGAGCACATGACACCTCATTCGCATGGATAGCAAGGCAGCACTGACAAATTCGATTTCGACACCGGACGCTCCGGAATGCATGTGGCGGAGTACAGACATCGACGGTAGCATCCCGCTGCAGCATTGTGCAGCGCGGTGTCGCCGTCGACGTGCATGGACGAAGTGAAGCTGCTTCTGCAGGAAGACGCCTCTGTGAGTCTGTGGCTGTGAAGAACAGCCATGTCCAAACTTTTTGAACCAAGAAGAAAGTGAGGCCCATGGCCAGGTTGTGATATGTCGTGATGAGTTTGCAGCGGAGTACGGCCACACAGACGTCTGCGGACCCTGCTGCGTGTCCGTACTCCGCCGCCTAAACGGGCAGCAGCAGGTTGCAGACTGTGCCAGGGACATCGAAGGCAACATCCCGTTGCAGCATTGTGCAGCGCGGTGTCGCCGTCGACGTGCATGGACGAAGTGAAGCTGCTTCTGCAGGAAGACGCCTCTGTGAGTCTGTGGCTGTGAAGAACAGCCATGTCCAAACTTTTTGAACCAAGAAGAAAGGGAGGCCCATGGCCAGGTTGTGATATGTCGTGATGAGTTTGCAGCGGAGTACGGCCACACAGACGTCTGCGGACCCTGCTGCGTGTCCGTACTCCGCCGCCTAAACGGGCAGCAGCAGGTTGCAGACTGTGCCAGGGACATCGAAGGCAACATCCCGTTGCAGCATTGTGCAGCGCGGTGTCGCCGTCGACGTGCATGGACGAAGTGAAGCTGCTTCTGCAGGAAGACGCCTCTGTGAGTCTGTGGCTGTGAAGAACAGCCATGTCCAAATGAACCAAGAAGAAAGGGAGGCCCATGGCCAGGTTGTGATATGTCGTGATGAGTTTGCAGCGGAGTACGGCCACACAGACGTCTGCGGACCCTGCTGCGTGTCCGTACTCCGCCGCCTAAACGGGCAGCAGCAGGTTGCAGACTGTGCCAGGGACATAGAAGGCAACATCCCGTTGCAGCATTGTGCAATGGGGTGTCGCCTTCGACGTGCATGGACGAAGTGAAGCTGGTTCTGCAGGAAGACGCCTCTGTGATTGTTAGGGCGGCCAAGCTCCATAGGACCAAGTAAGCAGCGCCGGCCACAGCCAGGGCATTGACATCAACAACCCACGGCCAGTAGTAGCGGTGGTCACATTCAGTCATTCAGTCCTACATGTTTCACACACGCTTGGCGCAAGCGATTTGAAAATGCACCATGAGTCAGTGTTGTCACCAGCCACCGGGACAAGTTTTGAGCAGATAGATCGACTGCAAGCACTTAAATCTTGGAGCATGTGCAGTACATTCCATCTTAAATTACTTATATATATAATTATATACATATATATATAATTATATATATAATTATAATTATATATATAATTATATATAATTATATATATATAATTATATATATACTGAAAAGAACTATGAAAAATAAACCAAGTCACGTGTCACGTGCACTCCCCCCGCCCCCCTCGGCACACATGCATGTATTTATAGATATATGCAACACCATATGTACACTGGCAGTGTTTGTATTTGGGTCCTGTTTCTGTCAAGCCCACCTGCAACACATCCCCACAAAAAAGCGCTAGTGTTTCAAGCTTTCGGAGTCGATGTTCAAATTGTCAATCCCTACTTTAATATATCATTATAATATATCATTATATAATATTATATGATATTTTATGTATATATATATATTATATATATATATCTATAGTTGGTTGACTTCTTTTACTTGTTGGTCAACCTGGCCATTCTCGTTGCTTTTCGCCACCAGTAACTGGTAACGGTTACCTCCCCATGTTTCAAATGTTTTTACCATCCTCTGCTGGTTCGTTAAAATCCTGATGAACTGGAAATGTGACTATAATGACTATAATCATGATATCTATAATGATATCTATATCTATATATATAGTACATGATGTTCTGTCATTATAAGTATTGACTATCCAATAGTAGTCACTATATGATGAATGACTATAATGACTTTTCTATGTATTGCGGGTTTTTTAATTTAATCATATGGAGGTTTCCAACAATGGTACCCCAAGGCACCATGGGTTTCAATATCAATTGCCTAGTGACTTGGATGATTTGGGGCATCTTGGAAGGTGAGTCGTCCGGAGAGCACGTGGATAGATACCCGGGTGCGGGTGGTGTCGCTTGCCTTTGGCATGTGGTTACCACATGGTTCCAGTTCCCCCCAAAAAGGGTGATATGGATTCTATTGGAATTTCATTTGCGAAATCAACGATCCCCATGACCCAAAGTTCGCTTTTCGAAAAAGAAATTAAGTTCGTTTGGGTTCATTGATCCTCATTTACTGAATGTTGGTTTGCATGGACAATTTCTCGGAAAAAAAGGAGGAAACTCAGCTGGAAACCAAAGACAAACCGCGAACACTAAACCACTGATTTACCCTCTGGTAAACGTTTACATAACTATGGAAAATTACTATTTTTTAGTAGGTAAATGCGGTAAATGAACTATAAATAGCCATTTTCAATAGCAAACTGTTAAGTTACCAGAGGGTAGATGGATTTTATACTGGATCCATTTGGGATTGGCCAAAAACGGAGATTTGGACGACTTCTATCCGATCAGAGGTGGCCGATCAGGTTTCTAAGACCCACATATTTGACGGGACAAACCATGGTTTTTCGATCAAATAGGTGGCAGTTTAGATCAAAAAAAAGCAGTTGATTGAACAGTTGATTGAACCAAGATGTTTCTTTTTTTAACTTCGCAGCAGTTGATTGAACATTTAGCTGAGGCTTTGAAATAAAAATCACCAAACGAGTTGTGATAATCATCCCCAATAGTACACCATGTCTATGGGCTGGATTCCAACCATCAATCCATATGGCGACCCTATTTGGAAGATGAGTTTTCAACCACTAAAACTATGGTTTGTTTTTGATGTTCTTTTCAGATTTTTCAGGGTGCTATGTGGAGGTTTCCAGCAAAATGGGGTACCCCAATAGCTGGATGGTTTATAATGGAAATCCCATTAAAATCCCATTAAAATGGATGTTTATCCCATCAAAATCACATTAAGATCCCATTTATAATGGATAAATCCCATCTATCAATGGATAATAATGGGGGTGATGGTCTTCCTCCAAGGTCAGACTCCCTGAGGGGCCTCATCAATGCCTGGCGCTACCTGCCGCAACAGGTGAGCGTAGGTTTCCTGAAAACGAGTGTAGCCCTGAATCATCCATTTTTTATGGGGATTTTCCATAATAAATTATAAACTAAAGATTTTGGGGATCCCCCATCTATCGAAATCTCCATATCTTTGAGAATATAACAGGGGATAGATGTATAGGATATAAATCCGAAACATCTACTATGGTATACGGTATACGGTATACGTATAATATCCTATAATACCCATCTACAATACAAGAATTCACACACTTGGAACATCTACTTGGAGTTGTTTTTCAGAATAGAGGGTATGCATCCAAAACTATGATTTTCATGGGGAAGATTATGTTCTAAGCCATCACATTTGGGGGCACGCTATTTTCAGACATACACATGTTTTTTTTTCGTGAAAACCAGGAGATTACAGGATGAACTGACCCATACCCATACATGTATATATATATAAGTAAATATATACATGTGATGGTTTTGCGACACCAATGTATAAATATATAAATATATGATATATGAATATAAATATATATAAATAGCTCAATATATATATATATGTACATATACATATATATATATATCTATATATCATATGTATGTATATATATAATTATATATATATGTGGTGTTCCCATGTAGGTTTGCAGGCTAATTCATGTTTGCATTGTTCTTTATCTAGTTTTGTAGGAATTGCGCTTTTGAATCGCCAGTTCTTGCTGAGTTTTTTTTCTCTTTTGAAGTGTTATTGTGGTTGGTTGATATGTCCATAGCCCATAGGCCCATAGCTAATTATTTTCAGCATTGCTTTCTCAGAGTATTTCTCATTGAGCTCTGGGCAATGTCAAACCGGGGGTAATAAAGTGATAATTTCCAGCCAAAATGGCACCCATAATTAGAGGGGTTACTCATCCGCGGTTGTCATCAACATGTTTTTCTTCACTTCTTTCACGACTGCTTCCACCACAGGAAGGTTTGCAGCCTGAGTGCGAAGACTTAGTGGGGTTGGCCACGAATTTGGGGTATTTTTTTCATGTGCATCTAATGGGTGTGTGTTTCTTTCGCCATAGGCGAACCTGCTCAGTAAGAGCAGCGTAGAGTGGTTGGGGGGGATGTGTTGAGTTCACCTTCGTATCGGGTATAAATTGGGATATACCCCCTTCGACTGTGGTGCTACATAACCGTAAAGGCGGACCCGACTGCACCCCCAAGTAAGGATCAGGGAAAAAGCAAGGGCTAAGTAGACTTCAGCCCCTGAAAATCTTTCAGCCGGTTGAGCTCCTTACAAAACGGGCATAAATCCAACAAAAAATAACAACACCTCTCACAGCCATTTAAACCATCCATTTAAGTCATTATCAGCACATGAACAGTACTTACGTTATGGTTGTATATATAATATATACTGTTTATACTATATACATAACAAAAAACCGATCATATGCGGAACATTAAAGAACTCATCCAAATCATCTATAGAACATATCAATCTATCAATCAGAATAGATGTAAATCAGTCAATCCATTTCATTATCTACATATATTTGCAGTATAATATATATATATATATACAGTGTGTGTATATATATAATATAGAGACTATTCTAGACTATATGTATACTGTATCTATAATATATCATCATAATATATATATATATACATACATTATTATACATAATATATCTCTACAATGTGCATCAACATTTCGCCATGGTGCGCTTCCACGTCCTGGGCGACGCCCTGGTGGACGTTGTCTGCGGCGGCCTCGCCCAGCTGCCCTCGCCGGAGGGCGATGCCACGGCGGAGCACATCGCGTTGCGCGCGGGTGCCACCGGGGAGCACCGGGGACCACCGGAGATTGACCTGGAAATCCCGGGAAATGGGGTGTTAGCCTCTGGTAAATAAACATAGACCCTGAAAATAAGCCATTTTTAATGGAAACTAATCTTCCAAGTCCTATTTGCCAGGGTCTATGTTAATTTACCAGAGGGTAACCAGTTGAAAATGGCTGTTTTTGAGCAAAAGATATACTTTAAGTAGGGTTCTGATCATGAAAACTTTGACTGGTGAGGATTTTTTTCAAACTGCCAATCTGAAGGTTTATCTGGGAAACTTAGTGGGTTTAAGCTGGAGGATTTATCTTGCGATTTCAGTAGGGATTTAAGTGATCAAACATGGGGATTTAAGCTGACAAATTCAAGATATAGGCTGAATTTAACGAATTTAATCTTACTGAAGCACTGGAATTTAACCCACAAACCGGCCACCAAAAGTAGGGATGCTTTTACGGTATGTGTGTTCATTACGCGAAGATCCGGGTTAAGGGCTCCAGGGGCCGCTGAACAACAGAGGTGGAAGTGCCTTGAACACTGCTGTGCACCTAGCCTCTTTGGTTGGACCTGGCCGTGTGACCTTTTACGCCCCTGGGCTGCAAGTTTGAGGTGGTTGGAACTCAGCCAAAAATTGAAATCTTATAGAAATAATGGCCTCAAGTAACATGCAAGGGGGAGTTTAAACAAGACTGTACTGTAGATACTATAGATATCTCCTTGACTTGAATCTGTTATGTATAGCTAACATGTTTAATTTTCCATCCTACCTTTGGACGGTGATCCCGGTTGATTATATATATATTAATATATAAACACTTAATATATCCATTTGTGGGGATTGGTTGAATGTATAGCCGCGGCTTAAAATGTAAGGCCCCGATCCATACCCTGGACCCACAGGCGATCCATAGCCCCGATCCATACCTATGATCCATATATCTCTAAGGGATATGATTCTGATCTATTCCGTTGACCCAACCCTTAATCCATACCCAAATTTGACAAGTTGCACTTATCCGAGGCCACTTTAATGTACCTTCTCAGTAGGTCCGGAAGTAATTCACTCGTTCCATACCTCCGGATCACCATGGAACGATCAATACTCGATTTTGAATGATACACATATTATATATTTATATACACCTACATATATACATATACAGATTATCCCATATATATATACACATATGTATATATATATACATATACATCATGTACACACATATATATATATATATGTTTATATGTATATATATACACATACATGTGCACATATATATATATATATGCTATATATAGCCCATAGGGATTCAACAACCACTAGCTTCCCACAGCCGGAGACCAGGCCTGTGTCGGAAAGGACGCCTTTGCAGACATGCTGACCGCGCGGCTGGAAAGCATGGGGATCGAGTCTTGATTGAAGCGGAAATGGCCCGGCAGAGCACAAAAATATGGCGGGGTGCCTTCAAAAGAACTCTATACAAGTTAGATCAAGTTAGTTGGTTGTCATTTCTTTACCATCCCAAAATCGGAGTCAACACACATGGGATCACATGGGTCAAAAGCCAACAGACTTGTGGCTGGTATGGCTGGTGTGAGTCATTCCCCTGAACTGTGACCGATGCCTATAGGGTTGCAACCATTTCCAAGCTCATGGGGATGGGGATTTCTACGACTCTTTCCAGCGCTTCCAACCTGTACATTTCTGGCCAGTTGCAAGTAGCTGATGGTCATGCCCTTAATTTAAGTGTCAGGTGATACTTTTGCAGAGGAATCCCAGCGGAACACAGGCATACATTGATAGGCGCATTTACCTCGAAAACTGTTCCTCCCATGGATCAGAACTGACAAGGCATTGATATGTTAATTGACTTTGTCGGCCCTGAAACCACTCATTTTTGGTTCCTGTGCAGCCCATACAGCTTCGTCATGAGTTTCCAGGTTTGGCTTGAGGCATCTTTGCCATTTTTGAAGTTCTGATTGTTGCTTACATTGTATGATCTTACATCCCCACGTGTGTCAAAATTAGAAGCCGAAAAAAACCCTCTTTTTCTTCCCAACATTTGGGTATTTTGCGACTTCAGACATGGTTTCTCCATTACTGTCTGGTTATTTAACATAGCCATGGAAAATGGCTCATTTATAGATGGTTTACCTATTATAAATGGTGATTTTCCATGGCTATGTTAAATAACCAGATGGTATTTTCGATGTTTTGAAACTGCAAAAATGGGAGAACAATTAGCGGTGGCCACTTGAGTCGGGATCCCGACTGATGGTTTTGGAATGCGTCCTGGACGTGATTAGAGTCAGAGAAGTGTGACTCAAAATCATGGAACCGTACTAAATTATATATATATATATTACACAATATATATATATTATCATTCTTGGATTATATTATATTTCATTACATTACATCATATTCTATCATATTCTACATTATTATATTACATTACATCGTAGCATATTATATAATAGTATATTATTAGGTGGCCACACCCAGATCATTGCCCTGACGCCTGCATCTTGATACCTCGACGATATGGCGCCTAAAGGGGGTCAGTTTCCAGGAAGCGAAGCTTCAGAGACACAGCGAAAAGTCCACAGGATCCTGTGTGGTTGCCTGGCAACAAATGGGTCTCAAAATGGGCCCTTAGCATAACTTAGCATAACTTAGCACCATAGGTTTCAATAGGTTTCAATACTAAGTCAATGATGTCATGGTCATATTGGTCATCCATGCCATGAATGATTCGGGGGTACTTGAATGACTTATGAAACCTCCAAATGTGATCATTGCTGCTTGTTGATTCCACAAGTCAGCAACATGTCATTAAGCCGCCGTGGAATCCCTCGCCATGTGCCACTGCGGTTCAACTACCCCCACCAAAAATGAGTTGTTGTCGGATGGGATAAGGTGTTTCGACGGCCCTGTTGATTTTGGTAGCTTCTAAATCCGTTTTGGTTCTTTATACATATACGTTATATATATACACACGATATATATATACATACGATATATATATATATACATACATATACGTTATATATATATACATACGATATATATATATATATATACATATACGTTATATATACATACGATATAAATATATATATATATATACATATACGTTATATATATATACATACGATATATATATATATACATACGATATATATATACATACATATACGTTATATATATATACATACGATATATATATATATATACATACATATACGTTATATATATATATATATACATACGATATATATATATATACATACGATATATATATACATATACGTTATATATATATACATACGACATATATATATATATACATACATACGATATATATATATATATATACATACATACGATATATATATATATATACATACAATATATATATACACGTTTTATATATATATATATACACGTTATATATATATATAAATCGTTGGTCATTTCTTTTCTTCTCAAATCCCCATGTTTTCTTGAGGCACGGGTGGGATCAACCATGTCACTTTCCCATCTCGAGAGACTCCCTGTTTTGTGAGAAGCTAAGGTTGAGGGATTTCCCCATAAATCACAAGCGAGCATCATGCTTGATATAACCTTCATAGGTATAAGCTATAGTTGATGTAGTTGATAGGATCATAAATTATAGTTATAAACTAGCGTTTTGGTTGATATACCCTCTGGTAAATGAACATAGACACTGGAAATCACAATCTTTAGTGGAAACTAATCTTTCAACCCCTATCTGGCAGGGTCTATGTTAATTTACTGGTTGATATAACCTTATCCCCAGCGCTCTTTTTTTTCTCCCCCTTCTGAGACGGTGCCGTCTCGGATCGGGTCAATTGCATGGGAGATATTGGACCCCAAAATAAGCAAGTTTCATGGGGGGGATGATGATTAACCACTGGATTTGAGTGTTTGTCCCCTAATTCTTCAGGTACCATTTTTCCATTCATTTTCAAAGGGAAATCCTTGTTCAAACGGAGAAATGGAGGGGATTGAAATTGAAAGAGGGCACTATAGTATAGGGCACTCATGGCCAACGCATCACAGTCGTCAAATGTTGATTTCCTATTATTTTGTTGGTTACTGCAGGTTATTCATATATCATCATATATCATATATCCCCAGTGGTCAACGCATCCCCCAATATTAGCTGCCGGAAAGTTCCAGACCTAAAGATGATGGTGGAAACTTCATTTTTTCCATTTTTATCCCCATTCTATCGCCATTTACACATGATTTTTCCAACCGTATCCGTGATGAACATTGATAAACCTGCTGGGTTCATGGATATTTTTTCCAGTTTTATCCTCCATTTATATGGCTATGGCTCAAAGCCCTAGTATCCTTCTGTTCACATCCTTCCAGAGCTGTTTTTCTGATGTTCATCCCCCAAAATCCAGATCATGATTGAAAATCCCATGAAAATCCATCAAAATCAGCATATGATGGCCTCAAACAAGCCATGAAATCTCATGAAATCTCATGAAATCCCATGAAATCCCATAAAATCACAATTTTTCAATCTTTTTCATGGGTCCTGCCGCCGAGATCCTCAGCGGCCCATCTTTGGGCCGTTCCTTCGTGACCTGCTACGGCGCCGCGCCGGAGCTGGATGTTGAGCTGCTGGCGCAAAGCCTGCAGGAAAGCATCCTTCGGATGTGGAAATCTTGGGGAAACATCTGGAACATATGGAATATCCTTTGGTAATGTAACATAACTCTTGGAAAATGATGAACATGGCCCAGTTTAATAGTTGATTAGGCTGTTGTTTTACAGCCTCAGGATCTATGTTTTCTAAAATCGAGGCCGTAGGGACCGTAGGGTCTATTTTCAAAGAGAGTACCCATTAAAAGTGGTGATTTTCAATAGTTATGTATACTTATGTTAGTTTGCCAGACTTTACCAGACGGTATCTTGGAAGATTTTCCCATCGTTAAACATCTTGGAAGAAAGATCTTGGATTTCTGCCGCCAACATGGAAGATTTTTTGTGGGGAAACATCTTGGAAGACCTATGGCCTATGGCCTATGAGACCTGTGGGTTAAATCCGCGAAATGATTGTGAAATCCACCTGGTAGGCTGGAAGATTGGAGATTTTTTTGGGGAAATGGATGGGAATTCCAAATCTTTCATCTCCAAATCTTTTCCTCGCTGGGGGGAAAACATTGGGTGGTTGGCTGTTGGAAGGTTGGGAAGAACCATATCGAAAGAAGCCGATGGGATACAGTTTGGACAATTTATGGGAAAAAGGATCTGTGACAAACTGTAAAGCTGGAAACATATTGGAAAAGATGGAAGAAGAAAAAAATGGGGAACGCATGAATACATGGAACCAGATTGTAAGACTTGGAACCAGTTTGGAAACAGATGAGAAAACTGTTGGAAAAACGATGAGCAAATGGAGTTCAATTCTTTTTGTACAATTTTGAAACATTTCAATTTTTTCGTGAGAGTAGCATTTTTTTCAGATACAAAGAGGGATTTAACCGTTAAACCCCCCAAGAAATTGGCTTTAGACCGTTTTTAAAAGCTTGGTATTGAAACTGTGGATTGAAATGGAAGACCAAGCCAAAACAGCGGATATGATCGGTGATTCACCAATAACAGCGATGAACCGACGGGTTGTGGTTGATGGATGTTGATGGGTGGACCATATATCTGTCTCTGAATAAATTTGAACCACAGGATGCCTTTTCGAAATCATGGATTGAAAAAAACCAGAGGCTTTTCATGGCTTTACCTCAGTGGAAATTCAATCCGTTTACTCTCCAGTAAACTAACAGTTCGAGAAGTGGAAAATCCACTGATGATCATTTTCCTAGGGTTTACCCATAGGTTTTCCATGTCCATCCACATATTTACTGTCATTTACCCTAGGGTACCGAAGATGCTTTAGATTTGAATATTGGCCATTCAGCAACGCCACGCAGTCTGAGCTGGAACGAGCTGATGAGCCCGCGACTCAGTCTTCGTTTGGGCGCTGGCTTTAGGGCTTTAGGTACCCTCTGGTAAACATACAAAAAACTCTGGAAAATCACAATTTTCAATGGGAAAATCCACTATAAATGGCCATTTTCAATAGCTACGTTAGTCATTGCCAGAGGGTAACTCACAACAACCATGATTCGCTGCCCCAAGTCATAGATGGAGCAATGGCACCCGAAATATGTGGTAAATATCATCGAACAGCCCCATATAGAAACACTTTTCTTTTTTTTCTACTAATCAGTTTTTGTCCCTTTGCTGCAAAGTCTTCCCGTTGCGGGAACTTTCCTGCGCAAAAAATCCATGGGGAATTTGACACCGTGCCGGTCCGGTGATAAACCCAATCCCACAAACCTACCGTTGGGGATAGTTTATACCACCAAAAATGTTGATTTGGGGGATGGTTTATGGCATTGGGTCCGGAGCACATGTAGAATTTTATACACGGATCAGGGATGGGTTTTGGCCTTGGGTAAACACCACATCTAGATTCATCTCGCTTTTTCTGGGTCCAAAACGTTACAGCTGCGCTTTTTTTGTCCAACAGTGGCCTGGTAATCAGTCCCACTAAGCATTGGAATGTCGACCATTGATGATTTTCTGAGTAACATCTTGCCGTTGAAAAAAAATGGATTTCCCACGGTTGATCCCCGGAGACTCCCAAAAGTATCATGGTCAAGTAGGATGATCTTCATGTTTTCGAAAAAGCCTCGGAGCTGCAGGTTCACATCCACCTGGGAGGAGTGTAGCTTTGGACACAGTGAAGGGATAGATGTGGCAACTGCGGTTATGGGGCAAAATTGGAATACCGAACAAAATAAATTTGATAAAAGTGGGATTCACTCAATGTAAACCATCCCCAAGTCATCACCATTTTGATGGTGATATCATCCACTTAAATGGTAGGTTTATGGCAGGTTTCGCACATTCGAATTCGCCGGTCTGTGGGTCTCTGTGGGTCCCAGGGTCACCCATAATGTGATTGTGTGAGTGAGACTGATACTGTGGATGGCAACGCGAAATCCGAAGCACCAGTTGAAAACGATGGGTTTATTCAGTTTATTCCATTATTTATAGCTGGTTGGTGGTTTGGAACATCTTGTATTTTTCCATTTCATATATGGGAATAATCATCCCAACTGACGAACTCCATCATTTTTCAGAGGGGTAGGGCTCAACCACCAACCATACATATATATATATATTATAAATGGATATAAATGGGGGATTTCCAATTGCTATCTTTGATGGTGGTTTATCCCATTATTTATAGGCTTTCAAGCATCCTTTTGGTGGTGCAGGATCGCTGGCCCATCCACAGTATGGCGACATAGACATGTGAACACCATTACCTCCTGGCAATGACTAACAGCTTGCTATTGAACATGGCCATTTAGTTACTATAGTTCGTTGATTTACCTATGAAACATGATGATTTTCCAATTCGCTATGGGAGTTTACCAGAGGGTAACCAGACATTCAGCTGTTGACAAAGACTTGGAACCCAACCAGCCACCAAGGTGGCTTGGGCATGGTTCAACATGATCGACCTCCCCATATAAATATGTATAGCCTCGGGTAGTCAAATATGAGCATCCCTCATAAATGGATGTTTTCATGTGAAAATCATCTATAAATGAGGTATTTTCCATTGCCACATTTCATCATCGACGCCCTGAATGACTATGGCCCATATCCCCGTGATGGAATTTTGGCCAAGCCCCACAAAAAGCATATCCTGTTTGTAGCTTCTTATTCATAGCCATGTTATCTTCACATGTGTGTTCACATGTGTATGTGCACAGATTGCATCCGTACCTTCTTCTTCTTCTTGCACAAATGCATATCATCATTACATATCATCATTACATATCATCATTACATATCATCATTACATATCATCATTACATATCATCATTACATATCATCATTACATATCTATAACATATATATATATACATACATGACAACTCTCTATATGCCGATCTCCGGGATCCCAGGTATTCCTATGGCCCCACGTTGCGTCAGACACTGCCCAGCTTCCTACGGCGCTTGCGCGCTACAAGCCGCGCCTTGCGGCGGCCGACGGTGTCGCTGGATGCCAACGGACATGAGGTGCCAGGAAGCCACGGTTTCCCATGGATTACCATTGGATAAACATGGAAAACCTATGGTTTCCTATGGATTACCATCGGATAAGCTACGGTAAACATAGAAAAAACGATGGATAAATGGAAGAATCTAACATTGGAACTGGAAAATCACCATTTTGAAGGGGTAAATCAACGCAATTTTCAATAGCGACCTGTTAGTTTACCAGAGGGTAATATGGTGATGGGTCAAGTTACCTATGAAATTGCCATGGATAATTACCATGGGGGAAGAAACATCCAGCTATACCAGCTATTTTTTTAAGGGTAGGATATTTAGGGTTTTGACTCGTAGCCATATTGATTAACTCTATATAAATATATATACTCTATTTAGCCACAAAAGATAGAACAGCGAGAAACCTGGAAATCTGAACTCGTAAAATCGACCCAAAATCCTGGAAGCATTGTTCGGCATCTTTTTGGTGTCTGCAAACGTTTGTTTTGTCTGATCCAGTGGACGAAATCACAAATCGCTTCACTGTACATCTCCCCTTTAACCATCTTTAACCAGTACCCATCGTGAGCTACCGACCATCCGATAACAATGACCAATTTGCAGCGAACATTTGTCGACACCAGGCAGATCAACTGGAAGGTGCCAGGTGCTCAGGGTACTCAGAGGACAAGGCGAGCGTTTTCATCCCAGCAATACTTTGATTATTATACATCCCATAACATCCCATTAATTCCACTTAGTTCCTCCATGAGAATTCTATAAAAAGTCCCATTCAAGGACCATTTCTTTCATGGTTCAGTCATGGTTCAGTCTCCATGAATTTTGACTCCAACCTGGGCTAAAAAAGGTCCGGGCTTTGCTGCCTGAAATCGATCTCTTTAAGGGCAACGTCAAAGAGGTCATGCCCGGCCCGGCCACGTCATGGAGATTCGACAGGAGATATTTTCCATGGGAGATCACTGGATGTACATGGATTTCCCACTAGAAACACGAGGGTTTTCTATGTTGTACATATAGATTTTTTGAAAGATATCAAAGATATCCCTAACATACCAAAACCATAGTATACATATAGACTATTATAGACTATTATAGATATATATCATATCCTTGGATATCTCATTAATCTACTGGGAAAATTTTCAGGCTAAGTTCCATCCTTGGGATGATCATGACAAAGCAGTGGCTTCCTGGACAGCAGCAGATTTTTTTGGCATTTCAAAGTGGTCCAGATGTAATCTCCTAATATCTGTCTATTTATTGACCTAATATATATATATACCCTCTGGTGAACTAACATAGCAATGGAAAATCACAATTTTTCATGGGAAAATCCACTATAAATGGCCATTTTCCATTGCTATGTTAGTTCACCAGAGGGTATATATCATTGAGAGCTTTGTTTTGATCCATGAGGGACACAGATACCCTCTTTTTTTAACTAACAGTTTGCTATTGAAAACGGCCCATAGAAATAGTGGATTTACCCATTAAAAATAGTGATTTTCCAGTTCGCTATGTAAACGTTAACCAGGCCGGGTAATCATGGAAAACAAATGAAAAGCAGGAACGTTTGCTTGGTTGACCATCCCAGTTACAGGGGTCCCTAAACCCTAAACCCAACTTGGGGATGGTTCATCGCCGTACTGGCGCACTGGGTTCCCCCACTCTGTCACTAGTAGTATCATCATAGTACACCAACAATCTTCACATTATATATTATTCTAACGCATTATATTGTATTCTATATATACCATGGTTGTATTATATTGTATTATGTAATATTTATATATATACCATTATATATTATTATATTTACCATTATCATGGTTGCTCAAAAATCAATTGTAAACTACCTAAACTATCATGGCTTGATCCTTGGGGATGGTTTATTTATCTCATTATCAACCAGAGTTACTCTTGATTTACAAACCATGTATATATATAATATAAATATATATATATATATATGTATATCCATATATCCCCATATATCTCCATATGTACACAGAATATATATATATATATTATATACATACACCCATATCTCTACATATGACATATATACTATCATTTTATTCTGTTTCAGACCCAACCCTCCAGGTGGAAGCTTTGCTGGGACTAGGGTGGCCAGATGCCATGGCAGAAGTCACAAGTGCGCCGCGCCGTTCCGGGCGGTGGTTAGGGAAATGTTGGGACTTTTGTGGAATAGAGGAATGAATAGATGAGCTATGAAAAATACCTTGGTGGGTCTTGGGAATTGTACTACCTGGATTATTTTGGGCTATAACTTACCCCGTAGTAGGGGAAGCTATCAACCCAGTATACTGAGATGAGATAGGCGTACTTGGTCCAGCATAATGGCTCAGATAGAATCCAGCAAAACTATTTGATACTATTTGTAGGTATACATTGTGTCCAACGTGTCTGGAACTTGTGGATTTGGATGCTTTTGGTGACAACGTTGTGGTTTGTGCATTCTCTTTGCATCGGTATGCAGGGCGGTCCAGCGTGCAGAGCATACTGGTAAGCTTGGCTTTGAGCGATTGTCAAAGTGGTCCTTTTTTGAAAGCTCTTTTAAACAGAAACAGAGTTACTTATCATTTATCCAGGTTTTATGTTTTCTTTAAAAGAATGTCAGCTATTTGGTGAGGGTCTTGAGAACTGTTCTTAAATATGTTGGATGATTATGTCATGTCAGAATAATTCAGAATGTATGTCAGAATCCATCTCTAGTAAGTCTAGTACATATCTCAGAATATGTATGTCAGACTAATCTGCCATTCATGATATATGATGTGTATCTATCTATATATATATAATTAAGTATAAATTATATAGTCAGAATGTGCTTCTTCTAAATCAGCTATCAGCCTTCCGGGCTTCACCCGAAGCAGAGCATGTTCTGTGTATAGAGCAGATCATTTGTAGTGTAGAATGACAAAATATGATATTCAATTCCAGAATAGCTTCTGGTAAGTTCACATTTCTATGGAAAATAATCATTTTAATGGTAAATAGTGGTCATTCACATTATTTACCATAGGTCACATAGCTATTCATTTAGCTATGGAAGCGTAAAAGGTCAATCATTTCTCGCTGTCCATGGCTTCCTGGCTTCCTGGCTTCAAGGCCAAGGCTGTGCTGCGGTGATCACATGCGGGGCGGAAGGCGCGCCTTCCAGGACTGGCGACATCAACAAGATCATGGGAACCAAATAGGATAGTGGGATGATACTATGATAGAGAAGTTTGATATATAAAGGTTTTTTTCCTCACATCCAAGGGTTCAAAAGTAATCAAGGGTCACATGTTATACTAGTGGCGCTGATCTGTTCAATTAACATTGAGCCATTTCGAAAAAACCGTGAGTCAAAGAAGCTGAACTTGGCACTTGGCTTGAGAGTTACTTCCAATAGCGCTACTCTTAAATTTACTAGAGAAGAACCGCCATCCGGATTACTTGCATTACGGATGCCAGAGCCCACAGTGGATCCCCGAACTATTGAAATCAGAGTAGGCCCATGATTTTGCGACAGAACATACCTGACTTCTACCAGGTTAGATTTGCGATGGATCCTACTTTGTCCAAATACTTTTTGCGATGGATCCTACTTTGTCCAACATTAGTTTGCGATGGGACCTACCCAAGTCCATCTCAAAATGATGCCAAATCTAACTATTGCCATGGTATGTGCTAGCAAGGTTTAACATGATTTGTCTTAAAACTCTAGGGGTTTTGGGTGTTAGGCAACAGTTTGGTTAGAGATGGATTTGGGTAGGCCCCATCTCAAACACAGCCTGCCAGTATTAGGGGTACTGGTAGTGGACATGTGTCTGAAAAGGCTTGCCAGTCCAAATCAATGCTTAGGGATAAGTCTCACCCAAATCCATCTCTAAGTTGAATTTCAAAAAAGCATCTCTACCACATCCCTTTGAGACAGATGGCACAAATTCCCCCAAATTGTTTGAGACAAGTCCTTGGTTTCCAATCAGTCTCACCTGAAGCGCTTTGAGATGGATTTGGGTAGGTCCCATCGCAAACTAATGTTGGACAAAGTAGGATCCATCGCAAAAAGTATTTGGACAAAGTAGGATCCATCGCAAATCTAACCTGGTAGAAGTCAGGTATGTTCTGTCGCAAAATCATGGGCCTACTCTGATTTCAATAGTTCGGGGATCCACTGTGGGCTCTGGCATCCGTAATGCAAGTAATCCGGATGGCGGTTCTTCTCTAGTAAATTTAAGAGTAGCGCTATTGGAAGTAACTCTCAAGCCAAGTGCCAAGTTCAGCTTCTTTGACTCACGGTTTTTTCGAAATGGCTCAATGTTAATTGAGCAGATCAGCGCCACTAGTATAACATGTGACCCTTGATTACTTTTGAACCCTTGGATGTGAGGAAAAAAACAATTATATATATATACAGTAATATGTAATATGGTGTACTGTATCTCACTGATACCATGATAGAGATTATATATTATAGTACTATGATGTAATAAATGTACTATATATCACTATAAGTTAATATTCTGCCACTACAGGCTAATTATTTATCCCACCTACCAATCATGGATAGCAATAGGTAACCCCATAAATCCACAACAAAAATGATGCTTAAATTCTCTTTTACAGTCATTAGTTCCCAACAGCGAATCTGTTGGGTTGTAATCTCTGGGGCCGGGGACTGGTGACACGAAAATGCACGCCCCGAAAAACAAGAACAGTCCTGCAAAGCTAGGCTACTTGTTACAGTATAAGTTATTGTCCACTTACAATCTTGATCAAGCATCATTCATCACTTTTATCATGTTAGATCCACATATATCCCCATCATCTTTGATAGTTAAAATTCATTTTTCTATGACTATAAAGATTAAGAATCAAAGTCAAAAAATAATTCACTATATAATCACGAATCATTAACAATTAATATTCATTAATCATGTGGATCACCATTAACCATTAAATATACATTAATCATTAGATATCCTA